TGACTTTATCAGGAAAAGAACAGCAGAACTGCTAATTAAATCAAGGATAGAAGTATTTAGAATTGTAGCGACTATCCCCGGTCATTCCAGTATTTCGTTTCCTGTGCGAATGACAAGGTCTGGTTTATTTAAGACATAAATCTGTCGGGAAACGCACAATGGAGCAGTTAGCGGATTTATCTAGTGCTACAATAGGCGGCATATACAAATACATAAGCGGTTCTAAATGGTTTGACTAAACTGCAGGAATGTTCTGACAGGGAGGATTCGATAGAATAAAATATCATTGTCCAAGAGAAGTGCACCAAAATGGCGCTTTTATGCGCTAATTGATTTCTGAGCGACAATTTAGGTAGCACTACAACCAACCAACCAGCCAACAAGGTGGTCGATGCTCAGAAAATGAAAAACTGTTCCATAAATGAATCGCCCTTTCCTCTGGCTTACAATTAACAATTATGGTTCCCACTGAAACGATTTTCCATACCAACACGCAGACGCTCCCCTCATTCTCAAAACTTTTGCTCTCGTTTTGTTCTACAGCAGGACATTCCCCAGACCTTAGTTCCTTTTTGATCCTCCTTGAAAACGTTCTCGATAATTTCGTTCTCATTTCGCTATCGCTGGAAATGTTTTGTTCTCACTCAAACTGCTCTCAATATTATTGTTCGCCAGTGTGGTTCTTTTGCGGGCACGTTCTTGATATTACATTTTGTTCTCGTGCAGAACTAAAGCAAAACTGGAACGTGTCCTTTCGCGTCTGGAAAACTTAAGTCGAAGTTTCTTCGATGAAATATCCCCGAGTAAGTTTGAACCTTAATATCTACTAATATTAAAAATAATATCTAGTGAAAAGGCTGCTGATGGGTCCATGTCCAATTTGATAATTTTTTTTAAATCTGCAATGAGCGGTAAATATCTCCCAGTGAGCTTTTGCTGATGTCTAACCCAAGGCAATCCCTAAAATAATAGGAAAAAGTCTCAGAATATAGGTGTTTTTCTTTTATTAAAAACTTCGTTATTTTAATTACAGTTTTAATTTTACGAAAATATTAAAATTTAATATTTTATATACTCCAGCTCAATGCCCAACAAAATTATGTTGACTTTCTGCGCTTGGTCGCCGAGCAGTCAAAGACCGTAAATAAGGAACTTATACTCGATCGACGACTATATCGGCAGCTCATGCTACAGTCTGAAGCTGGACCCAATGCGCTACCCATAGAAACATTGGATCGGGTAAGTTAAAAGAAGCATAAAATTTCGATTAACACTCATCTCTACTTCTTCTCCCAGTACAATCGCCTGATCAATGAAATGCTGTACATTTATAATGAAGCCACAATTTGTGCTTATCAACAACCGTTCGTCTGCAACCTGCGCTACATACCCGATCTCAAGGAGATTATGTCTAAAAGTCGCGACTGGGATGAGTTGCAGCACACCTGGGTGGAGTATCATCGCAAAGCCGGACGTGAAATGCGCGATGGTTATGAACAGCTGGTGGATGTAATGAACGAGGTTGCCTATGTGAATAGTAAGTGGCGTAATTTCTCAACAAAATTCGTTGATTTAATACATATACCTCTGATAGATGTCACCAACGGCGGCGAGTTTTGGTATCTCCCTTATGAGTCAGCCAACTTTCGACAGGACGTTGAGATTGTTTGGGAACAAATACGACCACTGTACGAGGGTCTACATTCGTATGTGCGTCGTAAATTGCGCGACTATTATGGCCCGAATCGCATCAATCGCATTGCACCCATACCCTCGCATATACTCGGCAATATGTATGCGCAGTCGTGGTCGAACATCTTGGACATTGTCATACCGTATCCTGGACGCAAATTGGTCGATATAACGCCACGCATGATCGAACAAGGCTATACGCCATTGCTTATGTTTCAATTAGCTGAGGAATTCTTCACTTCGATTAATATGTCGGCCGTGGGTCCTGAATTCTATCGCAATTCTGTCTTGGAACAACCCTTGGATGGACGACGTGTATTTTGTGAGCCCTCAGCATGGGATTTCTGTAATCGTCATGATTTTCGTGTTAAAGTTTGTTCGGAAATTAGTCAGAAGGGCCTGCTGAGTGCGCATCACGAGATGGCGCATATACAGTACTTTTTACAGTATAGGCATTTGCCGAAAGTTTTTCGAAACGGTGCAAATCCAGCTTTTCATCAAGCGATCGGCGATGCTGTAACATTGTCCATATCGACATCAAAACATTTTCAAACGATCGGGCTGCTGCAACGCTCGGTCGATGAGTCCAGCTATGACATAAACTACCTCATCACGATGGCTTTGGATAAGGTAAAAGAGACTGTTTTTGGGCTGAATGAAAATATTGATACAATTTGGGATTTTTAGGTTGCTTTTCTGCCTTTTGCCTTGGCCTTGGACAACTGGCGATACGATGTATTTAGTGGGAATACCAACAAGCACACGATGAATTGCCACTTCTGGAATCTCAGGTTAGTCTTCATTTTACAGGGTGCAGCAAAAATTGCGTTCTTCTTCTTCTTATTTGGCGCTGTAACCGCCTAAGCGATTTTGGCCGAGTCCAAAACAGCACGCCAGTCATTTCTCTTCTGTGCTAACTGACGCCAATTGAAAATGCCAAGTGAAGCCAAGTCCTTCTCCACCTGGTCTTTCCAACGCAGAGGAGGCCTTCCTCTTCCTCTGTTACCAGCANTTTTGCTTTTTTGGGGCAGCAAAAATTGCGTTAGAAAGTTTAAAAAAATGTTGATGGGAAAAATTTTTAATTTTGGTAGAGAAGACACTACGATAAGCGCACCTTGAACCGAAAGTTTAATCAACTGTTTTTAGATAAAAAGATTCCGAAATTTTTAGTTCTGTAACAATCGGTAACTATTTAAGTAATGAAAAATAATAAGAGCACATATATTGACAGGAATATCGGTAAATATATCAGTAAATATATCGAGAAAAAGGCTAGGAGTTCGATAAAGATATAGAGATATTAAAATAATGAGANAAGTTTAATCAACTGTTTTTAGATAAAAAGATTCCGAAATTTTTAGTTCTGTAACAATCAGTAACTATTTAGGTAACGAAAAATAATAAGAGACAGGAATATCGGTAAATATATCAGTAAATATATCGAGGAAAAAGGCTAGGAGTTCGATAAAGATATAGAGATATTAAAATAATGAGATAGAGATATTAAAAATATACCGTAATTGGATAAATATTTTGATGGGTATGGGTACCGATATCGATAACAATGTATAGATAAATTTATCGATGACAGTATCGATTATGAAACAGAAAATTTATATTTTAATATGTTTAATTCGATCAAATAACCAAGGACCCAAAATAATCTTAATAATAAGATTTTTATACATATTTAGACGACTGCAAAATCTTAATTTTTTATTTTTATTTTTTTTTTTGGTAAAATTTAATCGTTATTTTGTGATTGTTTTTCGTTATAATCGATACTGTGTTTCTATAACCGATTGCCATCTTTTATGCTCTACAAAATTAAATCTGAAAATGACGGTTAAATATGTTCGAAAAAAATAAAAANAAAGGACCCAAAATAATCTTAATAATAAGATTTTTATACATATTTAGACGACTGCAAAATCTTAATTTTTTATTGTTTTTTTGGTAAAATTTAATCGTTATTTTGTGATTGTTTTTCGTTATAATCGATACTGAGTTTCTATAACCGATTGCCATCTTTTATGCTCTGCAAAATTAAATCTGAAAATGACGGTTAAATATGTTCGAAAAAAATAAAAATCAGAAAAAAACCATTATTATTGATTTAAAATATAAAAATCATAAAATAAAGGTTAGAGATTGGAAAAATACAAATCTAATTAATCGGGATTTTAGTTATTAAGATCATAACCGTTACGTTTTGTTGCACTCCGTACTTCTCTCTCGTGAAAAGTTTTCTAAAATTCCCAATCTCTCTTTTAGGGAGCGCTATGGGGGAATTAAACCGCCAGTGCTACGTTCAGAGAAAGACTTTGATTTGGGAGCAAAATATCACATTCCAGCGAATATACCCTACATCAAGTGAGTAATAGAATTAAGATATTTGGGGGAAATATTAATATGTGGATTCACTAAATTTAAAAATTCATCGTAACGAGCGCTAAACCACGAAAAAAAAAATTGTACCACTGAAATTGGCTTTAGTGTTTTTGAAAAGAGTCTCCATGAATTTTTTTATACAAGTTTTTTTACACAGATTTAGGTATCTTCGAAGCTAAGTATAAGTTTTGAATGCTTCAATGGCTTTTCGGTGTCTCGACAAATGTTGGCGTCAAAACTATTTGGATATGTGGACAAAATATGGGCGTGAGGCTAATTAGACGGCGGATGTTCCATGCATCAAGTCAATGTGTTTACTAATAATAATTGCTTGATTCGATCTAGGAGGAGAACTTTCGTCTTCATGCTTTTCGAGTTTATAAAGTAGGGTTTCTAACTTCCGTTTGTATACCCCACACACTTGTCTGTTCAGTATTTCTCGAAAGACAGAGCAGCCATTTAAGTCGAAGAAAACGTACAGAATTAGTTTTGAATAGTTTTTTCTCGAATAAGTTTTGCTGGATTTGACTCTTCGAAGCCCCGTGCAGCTAATTGCTGTTTTCTTTCGGTATTCGTCACTCTCGTATAATTTAAAAGTTTNATATTTCTCGAAAGACAGAGCAGCCATTTAAGTCGAAGAAAACGTACAGAATTAGTTTTGAATTGTTTTTTCTCGAATAAGTTTTGCTGGATTTGACTCTTCGAAGCCCCGTGCAGCTAATTGCTGTTTTCTTTCGGTATTCGTCACTCTCGTATAATTTAAAAGTTTCTTTGCATCACATGAATTGAGCAAGTTTTCTTGAGCCGTGAGCACTTGCATTTCCCGTTCAAGTGCCCAAGCAATATGGTATTGAAGATTCTTATGACAACGCCTGAGGTGACCTCCCAACATAAGTATGTATATCCCACTGTGAATCACGTACGCATCCTGCATTATAAGTTTCCGCACTGTATCGAAGATTATTTGAAAAATTTTAGCCTTAAAACGTTTATTTAGGCGAAAAAGTCCCGAAATTACCCATTTTTTTTCATTGGCACTTGAAAAAATCATAATTGTTTTTTTTTTTTTTTTTAATAACTTTGGGAAGTTTTCAAATAGAATATTCATATTAGAGGCAATGAAAGTTATCTGTGAAGTTTGCAGAGAGTGCAACCGAATTAAAAATAAGTAATTTTTAGCAAAAAAAAACCGACTTAAAAAAATGTATATATATCTATATATATTTTATGATCCAATGATCGGACCTAAACCAGATTAGTATGGGACCACCTCTGAGACACTCCCTTTCCGATGCGAAAACAATTTGACGTGGTCCAAAGTTATGCGGTAACATACATAAACAAAAAAAATAAAAAAATAATAAAAGAAAAACAAAATATTCCAACGAACTGATAACCTCCTCCTTTTTTGGAAGTCGGTTAAAAAAATAGCAGAAATATGCAGAATATCTGTCGCAGCTATTTTGTAATTTTTGAAATTTAACGATTATTTGATTTTAAAAGTTTAAGAAAATTGAAAATTTCAACATTGAACAGTGTTTAAGCCGCCGCTTAAACCTTATTCAGCGGGCGTGAGCGCATCCTTTGGCGGCAGTGGAGTCGAAGCGACTCCGAAAATTATTACCGAGCGCCCACGGCCGCCTACCATCCTCGCAAAAATTACCACCGAAGGCAGTTCAGCTACTACAGTCGGACAACGCGCCCTTTTAAACTAATTCGTGGAATTACAGGCATATATATATATATATCTCTGCTGTTAGACTTAAAGTTTAAATAAAAAACCAAAAACACCTGTTGTGAATTTTAAAATACTAGCAAACGTTTTCCTTTAAGCGGAAACTAAAGTGTTTAGTGAGGTGAGTGCGAAAGGCGACCACTGGAAATAATCCAACAGTGAAAATGTTTTTCTTGTTAAACCTAGAGTAATAAAACTAGTGTGCCACCAAATGAAAAAATAAAAATAAGATACATTGATCACACCGTACGACAGTAAATTTTACAAAAAAAAAAAAAAAAAGAATTTACCCGCGAAACTATGGTTACAGGATATTTTTTAAAAGAACTTTGAAATTTAAAAAATATGATTTTTTCAAAAAAAAAATTTAAAAAATTCAGTGCAATGTAGTTCAATAATAAGGGTATCATATGAAAGAAAAAAAATCTGTATATATAACAGAATACATTTTTTGGTCCATAAGGACGAATGGGCATGAAAAATGTTTTTTTTTACAAATTTTGTCCTTAAATATCCTTCAAAATTTGCAATATTTATTTTCGAAAAATTATTGTTTGAGGCCTAATGTACATGCCACCTCATCATCGGATTTCCTCCTGCAATATTTATTAGCTTCCTTTTTAAGTTCAATACCAATTCGTCCTTGTAAACCAAACAAATTTATTGTTTTTAAATTCTACAGAATTTTCTCTCNATCATATGAAAGAAAAAAAATCTGTATATATAACAGAATACATTTTTTGGTCCATAAGGACTAATGGGCATGAAAAATGTTTTTTTTACAAATTTTGTCCTTAAATATCCTTCTAAATTTGCAATATTTATTTTCGAAAAATTATTGTTTGAGGCCTAATATACATGCCACCTCATCATCGGATTTCCTCCTGCAATATTTATTAGCTTCCTTTTTAAGTTCAATACCGATTCGTCGTTGTAAACCAAACAAATTTATTGTTTTTAAATTCTACAGAATTTTCTCTCTCATCTGGTGCCTATATTGTTATTCTACATTGCATTTATTTTTTAAAATAGATTTTTGAATTAACATATTATTAAAATTTCAAAGTCCTTTAAAAAAAAAAAAAAATCCTGACTTCAGAGTGAAAAACTAAGAACACAGCTGTTCTACATTTGGTTTCGTGAGTATATCGATTCTTTCGTGTGTTTTCCAATTTTTTTGTTTTTGTCGCACGGTGTTATAAGATGACGAAGATTTGCGAAACAAAAATTACAATTTTACAATTTTTACTGGAACACACGAAATTTATTCTGAAATTCTCATATACATACATACATGAAAGTCATGAAGAAATTAATATGTATATAATATATATACTCTAGAAAAATATTGCACGCCAATATTTATGTATATACTTGTAAAAAATATGACTTTTAAGTTAAGGCCTGCGAGTAAGTGTGTTAGCTGACTGTGTATGGTGCTAGGGGATATACATATACATACGTTACGTACACAACTAGGGGAATATGAAAACGAGTTTTCGTTTTAACTTTTTTTCGTACATATATCTTTTTTAAGTTTTCATTTCGTACATATATCTTTTTTAAGTTTTCATTTAAATACAATTTTGCAATGTAATGTTCTTCTTTATGCAAAACTGAAGGTAATGCATTGTTTAAGATAAGTGTGCCACCATGTGTAGGTCAGTAGTTGTACAGTAGCATTTTTCAACTGTAGCACTCTTCCCTTAGCCTTGAAATGTAATTTCGTCTGCCATGCATGCCACCTTACACTTTCGATTTTCATTATTACGTCTTTACATCTCTACTTTCTGCAAGCTTTTGTAGAGCAAACTGCAATTTATTTCCTCCTACATTGGGTTTCAAATACACTTATTTACACATACATACATATGCACATTCCACGCTGTTGCGGTTGAAATTGAAAGTGGGAAATGCTAGCTGCTGTGAAATTGTAGCCATTTCTATTTTGACTTTCTTTACTTTGCTCTGTTTTAACTTGACACAATTACTTATTACACAGCAGAGCTGTCTTAGATGTGTGTTTACTTACCAGAGTTAACGGTATACACAATGTGTGACTATTGTTAGCATTTTCTACAATGCCATGCTTTGTTTTTAATTGCCTCTTTCCACTTATAATTCCTTTTTAGCGCATTTATTTCAATATTTGTATATGTATTCGCAAGTATGTACATATGTATTTATTGTTATTTACTTGTTTACGTTTTTTGTTGACTTTGGTCACTTTGTGTAGCCAGTGCTGCCAAAGTCCGCGCTCTCTCTGACCCAGTAAACTGCTTTTCATACGGCACCCGCCAGCAGCTGCAATGTTAAAGCAAGTAAATATGTTTATGCTTCTCTGAGTCGATCATTCGTGCTCTGATGCATTCAACGACGACGACATTGGATTGGATAAGCAGATAAACTACGAGTAGTATGTTTGTTTGAGTGCTGAAGCGCAGGGTGTGGTAGCAGTTGGAAAATATGATGTGAATGAATTTGTGGGTGCAATGAGGTGGAAAGTATGTGTGCTTTAAATACTTGTTGGGCCATATTTTAGCAGTATTGACTGATGTCACTGACTGATGTAATTTGTTGCATGAATATGTATTTAAATTAATTCATTGTTATTGTTAGTGCGTTTTGTCTAATAATCACATTGGAGAATTTTCGTTCAATAACACAGTTTTAGAGGTTTGTCTTCATCTGCCTTTTGTAAGCCTGAATAAGTTGTCCGGTGGATGCCATTGCTGATTTCCAAAAAAAAAAAATTTTTTTTTGTGTACAAAAATCAACATTTCATTAATACCTGTAGTTCAAACTTTAGCTAAAATTTAAAATCATAAAATTGCAAGAAAAGCTTTTGTATGTATGTATTTTAACCAGGGACCGAACATAACAGTTATTGATAAAAACTGTCATGGAAAAATTCACTATGAAGGAAATGTTCTACAACTAAGTGAAACATACCAATCGATTTCGTTTTGCACCGAGACTCAAATTTGAAAATAAATTTTTATTTGCAATTTTTATGCAAAATTTAAAAATATAACAATTATATTTGATTTTTATATTATAAATCCAAAATAACAATTATTTTTGATTTTTATATTATATGGCTTAGATAACAGTAATTAAAGAGTTTTATTTATAAAAGTCATCAATAAAAATCAGTCAGTGATTTTTACTTTTAGAAGTCATTAATATAAATCAGTGATCGACTTTTGCTTTTTAAATCAATCGTATAAAAGTCATTAACATTTTT